GTAGTTGAGTAATTACATTTTTTCCGGAGCGAAAAGAATACGTCCTTTCGCTACGAAAAGTCGCCGAGAAAAAGGTAGATTCTTTCAAATCTCGCGCCTCCCTGTAATTATCGCTAGTGGTTGGTAATTCCAAAATATTGCCGCCTGTGATTATCGTCAGGGGTCAGTAATCCAACACAATTCAATATTCAGTAAGAAACTATGTGCAATGAATTACATGCCCTGCAGTGCATTGACTGGTGTGCTTAATAGCAATAATGCTGACCTAGGATGTGATTTCATACAATCTTTCCGTTTGTTGGGTTGTTAACATCATTTTTCGGAGTCTGTTCCTTTTTATGTAAAACCCGTAGGCGACTGCAGTTACCTCATACTGTCTGGAATTCCTATATTCATGCTGTACCTTTGCTACTGTTGCCCGGAAAAAAAAAACCTAGAGTAATTGCCACCTTAGAGATTGCGTGCACTATCTTTCTCGCCTCAACAATTATTCCGTGTTCATACGATATTTAATCCTGTCTGAATACCTCAGTTACCACAACTATACTACTTTCTTTACACATTACATCACACATCCATTTCTACAACCTTTGTGTGTCCGTGTTTACTGTTTGTTCATTGGTTTTTGTGTAGGTGTTGTCGTTATTTAGGAGGAATTCGAATTGTTCACAAGCACCGATGAAACTACGCTACCCAGGGGATATATACGGGGACTAAAAAACTTATCCACGAAAAAAAAAAGTTATCATCTTAACCCAATCTGAGAAAGGAATCAGAATCGTTATAATGGACACCAACGCCTACATTGAACAATTAGAATCCCTCTTGAATAATGACAACACCTACACAAAAATCAATGAACAAACAGTAAACACAAAGGTTCAACAAAACAGTTAAGAAAATACTAAAAAAACTGAAAACAAATCCTGGACCAGATTAATAGAATACCACCCCACCACATCCAGATTATATGGCTTACCCAAAACACTCAAACCCGACAAACCCATCAGACACATTGTGACCAGTATCAACAATACAGCTGACAGATTGGCTAGAGCCATTGCAACATTCCTAACTTGATTACTAGGAACCATCAACGCAACACACCAAACACTCTAGTGCCTTAATTAAGAGAATATGAAATGTAAATATAGAAAACATGGTCATGGCGAGCTTAAGCATCAACTCACTATACACTAACATATGCAATACAAAATGACTCAACATATTGAGAAACCACCTGAAAAGTCCAAAGAAAAGCTTCCTCTGTCCGTTCACAAAATTATAAAAATATGCCAATCACTAATCCCTGCTTCTTCACTTTCAACAATATTCTCTACAAGCAAAAATTCGGCTTGACAATGGGGTCACCTTTCAGTGATGTTCTCGCTTGCCTTTTTCTAGAATTCTTAAAATCCGGTTCATTTAGATACATCATACCAAACAGCTCTAATTACTTAGGATATATAGATGACATCCTCTTATTATGTCCTCAACATACAAACCTATTAGATTGATATGTGTTTCCTATTTGTTCTATATTTTCTCATCCTGTCAGATTCCGGTCCCTATTTGAGCTGAATTTGACTTTTAATATATATATATATATATATATATATATATATATATATATATATATATATATATATATATATATACGGGCCTAACTGTCCGAGAAATTTTCATAGAAAATATTCGTCTTCCGACAGGAATTGAACATGTATCCTATACTATTTTCTATGAAAATTTCTCGGACATTCAGGCCGGTAAATGTTGTTTAATACTGTTTATTATAAACAGAGCATTATATATATATATATATATATATATAAAAAGAAAAAACAGTAAGATATAAAATCCGATGTTCTTATAGATATTTTATTTTACAAAATAGTGCTCAATGTAAATTTACAGAGCATTAATATTATAAATTAATTGATTTAAAATATGGTTATTTTCGCTACACAGTTTTGAAACATGGTTGGAACTGTGTAGCGAAAAATAACCATATTTTAAATCAATTAATTTAATATATATATATATATATATATATATATATATATATATAGTCAATGATGCAATTTCTCCGTCAAGGAAGGTTTGAGAAAAATCGGATCAACTTTAGCTCAATTCTTAATATATAAGAAACCCCTACGCACGTTTTCTAAAAAAATGAAACACTAGATCACATTTTTTTTTTTTTACCAATCGGGTGTACAAAAAATACGCGGTCACTTCGTAAGAAATTTGTGAAGCTAACACACATGTGCGTGAGACCATCAGAACAATATAAAAATGAGGATATTTTCAAATTACCTTAGAACAGTTCGCTTGCTCGACAAGATGAATACAACTCACCGCAGCCCGCTCCTTTGTCTGCAAAACGAACAGTATCAAATTACGATTCTCATCTTGGCGATAATGCTTTTAACACCACGCGGCCGCTGGTAATTCTTTACAACTTGAAAAGACTTTAAAGAAAAACAAAACACGAAAGATTCAATTTTTGTTTTCAGATTTTTCCACAAGTTCTTGTGTTGTAAAAAGAAAAGGAAATAAAAACTTTTTATTTTGTAGCACTCATGTTAATCGTTTCATTGTATTAACATTAGTACCCTACAAATAGTGACCTCGCGGCTACACACAGCCAACTACACCACAAATAATGGTAATCTCTCGACTACAACACAGCGCCAATAATACCATAAATAATTTTTTCTTTCTCAAAATGAGTTTTTAGCAATTCCAGCGACAACAGTCCAACACAAGATATGAAGACACATATTCCTTATCACCAGCACAAGTTTTCGACGACAGCCAATTTTTCAATCTCGACTACAACAATACATTTACCATGGAAAAGAATTCCTAGTCACCAGAATATCAAAACTCCATAAGTCTTCGCGTTCAACCTTTCAACGTAAACAGACCAAGAGTATGGTTCCACCGACTCGAAGCCATCTTCATCAATAGAAGTATTACCTCAAAACGAAATATGTAGATACATGTTGTAAAGGCCCTCCCGAACGTAAACGCGGAGGAAATAGAAAACCTCCTGGAAAATCCGCCTACAGAAAAGCAATTCGACTTGATGAAAGGAGCTATTCTCCAAAGACTTGAAAGATCGGATAATGCAAAGTTGAGAGAACTTCTCAATGGTTCTCAATGGGACACAGGACGCCTTCTCAACTTCTGCGGTTCAAGAAAACTCTTCTGAGTCGCAGACACATGAATGAAAGCATCATACGCCAGGTATGGTTCGAGAAGTTACCACAATCGATGACGTACATCCTAATGGCTTTCTCCGAGGAGAAGACACTGCCTGAGCTCGCTGAACTTACCGATAGGATCGCAGACACTTTTCATCAGAAACCAACAGTTTCTAAAGCAGGGGTCGACAACTCATTCGATCCCGCGGGCCGGATCGTGTTGTAATGACGGGTCGCGGGCCGGACGAAGGCCATTAATGAAAAATTAAGGAAAATTACATATGCAGACTCCCTAACAACCTAAATATTTAAAACCATAATGAAAATAAACATTGAGAAATCAGAAAAAACAAAAGAAAATCTAAAATTAAAAAACACCTAACAAAAATTACTTTTCCTCAAGGAACGTCAAAGTGAAAAAAATCAACCGAAGTGAAATGGATGAAATTATGACGTGTAGGTTTGAAAATTGTTCCACAAACGAACCACACACACACACACACACACATCAAACAAAAACGAAGTACATATAACCATACATACGAGTACAAATAGTTGCAAACATATACACTTAAGTACGTAGACATGCGGTATCATCCACACATTCATAAGGCATGTATGTATAATGCGCGTATGTTTAACTGTTTTTAGATTTCTGCTACCTCGCATGTCAGTCGCTCCCTGGCCTCTTTCATTTTATCGTTCCTTTCGCTTCTGTTATCTTTTAATGTAGCCAAGGTTCATGACAAATATGTATCCATTATTTGACATTAAACGTAGGCAACTTGGTAAAATAAGTCTCATGAAAGATAACTGGCAGATAGACTAATTCAAAAGCCTCGTCTCTCATGTTAAAAATAAAGTCATTGGTAATCAGGCTCGCGGGCCGGTCAAAATGCCTTCGCAGGCCGGGTACGGCCCGCAGGCCAATGGTTACCGACCCTTGTTCTAAAGTCTCAGCAGAAAACAACAAAAAAGACAAAGAAGTTTCACACCTATACGAAAGATGTAGCAAGGACATAAAAGGTCAATCACGACCTGACGATCACAGACAGGCACAAAGCAGGAAATCCTGCAAGGGACAATCGACTGCAGGAAAATACCTAAGCTATTATCACTTCATGTACCGTGAAAAGACACGCAAGTGTATCAAACCATGTTCCTTTTCGAAGAAGGATTTAGAAGACCAACCCAGCAATAACGACGACTACTCCAGCTGGTGACACCAAATCAGGTCGCCTACTTTACATTCAAAAATCTAACATAACATTTTTAATTGATACAGGAGCAGAAATAAGTGTTATTCCCCCGACATCAACTCAAAGATCCTCCTTGGATAACAAAACGTTACTAGCCGCAAATGGCACTACTATCTAAATTTTCAGCACCTTTGCAGTAAACATAAATTTTGGAATGAAACGATACTCGCCTTGGATATTTGTGATTGCAGATGTGAAATCAACCCTCATCGGTGCTGATTTTCTTTTACACTTCAATCTTTCGGTGGACTTAAAGAACGGCCATTTGATTGATAACAACACAAACACATATGTGGTGGGAAGCATCAGAAGCAGCGACACAATAGGAATTCATTCGGCCTTGCCTACATGGGATTCAACGTATTTGGATATTTTTTTTTTAATTCTAAATCTGATTAAGCTAATTTGTTATAATGGTGAAATCAAACATCACGTCACACATCACATCACCACTCGTGGATAACCATTGCACTCGAAACCGCGTCGTCTAAATCCAGACAAACTCAAAATTGCAAAAGCGGAATTCCAAAACATGCTACACCTTGGCATCATTCGTCTGTCCAACAACCCATGGTCATACCCTCTTCACCTGGTTCCTAAAAAGCCAAATAATTACTGGCGACTTTGTGGAGACTACAGAACGCGGAATGCTGAGGCTATACCAGACAGCTATCCTATCCCACACATCCACGACTTTTCTTCTTCCTTATACGGAGGATCAGTATTTTCCCGACTCGACTTAGTTCGAGCATATCGCCAAATTCCCATCGCTGAAGAAGACAAACTGAATACAGCTATCTGCATCCCGTTCGGACTTTTCGAATTCAATGTTCTTTCGTTTGGCCTACGAAATTCTGCACAGGCTTTTCAAAGATTCATAGATGAAGTTCTTCGTGGTCTTCCTTTCGTCTTTGCGTACATTGACGACATACTGAGAGCAAGCAGCTCACCCAAGGAACATCAACAATACATCCAAGAGACATTCAGACGCCTTGATTACTTTGGTAAGAAAATCAATGCTCATAAATGCATTTTCAGTGTGCCCTCAGTCGAACTTTTAGGACATTTAATTGATGAAACAGGCATCACTCCTCTGCCTTCCTAGAATTGAGGCCATCAAAAATTTTCCTGCTCCTACATAAAAATAAAATAAAATAAAATACAACTAAGAAGATTTGACGGTATCGTCAATTCTTACAGACGCTTCATTCCAAAGTATTCATACATACTGGCGGAATCCTCAAGTCAAAGAACAAGGACATAAATTTGGATGAAAATCTGTAGAAGCTTTCAACACTACTAAACAATCAACTGCAAATTACACAAAATTAAACTACATTAGCAGTGACCCCTCTTCAAAATTGACTTTGTCAACAGATGCATCTGATTCTGCCGTTAGTGCTGTATTAGAAGAATCGATAAAAGGTAATGGCACACCTATTTCCTTTTCCTCTGTGATACTAAAAGATACTGAAAAGAGATACAGTACTTTTGGACGAGAACTTTTGCCTATTTATCTCTCCATCAAGCATTTTCGTCATTTTTCATCATCTTCACAGATCACAAACCTCTGACGTTCTCATTTAATACGAAAAGTAACAAATATTCACCCACGGAAATTCATCATTTGGACTATACCACACAATTTTCCACGGACATTTATCACGTTTCCAGAAACGACAACATAGTTGCCGATGCACTTTCGCGTGTATAAAATATCCACATTGACGGACCCCTGAATTACGATTATATTGCACAGGAACAAACGAAGGACGCATCAATGAAACAAATCTCTGAACTTCCTTCAGTAATTTTAACAGAATATCCTATTCCATTTAGTGGCAAGAAAATATTCTGTGACAATTCCAAAAATTATCTTCGTCCTTATATACCTCCTTCATGCAAAAAAAAAAAAGAATCTTCAATCATTTTCAAAACATCTCGCATTCCTGGCAAACGAGCTTCACAAAAACTAATTTCTGATGGATTCAGTGGGCACCAATATTCGCACTTGAACTTAGTATTGTATACCCTGTCAAAAAACAGGCATACAAAAAGCAATTATGGTGTATTTTCAACTCCTGATGGTCGTTTCTCAATCGTGAACATTGGCATCGTAGGTCAGTTACCTGCATCCAATAAGCACTCATATATCTTAGCGATGATCGACAGATTCATTCGCTGGCTTACTGCTCACGCCATCAAGAATATTTCTGCAAAATATATAGCAAAAATTTTCATCGAACGCTTTGGCATTCCTAATACAATCACAACAAACAGAGGCTAATAATTTCAACCAGGACTCTTTCAAGACCTAATACAAACTTTGGAAACTACCCACATGAAAACTACTGCATACTATCCTTGCGCTAATGGCTTAGTAGAAAGATTCCACCGTCAATTAAAAACTGCACTTGCTGCTCAACCTGATACAACCAAAAGGAGTGAACATTTTCCGATAGTTCTTCTTCCACTGTTAAAGAAGTCATCAAAAGCACTGCAGCAGAGATTGTATATAGTACAACCTTACAGCTACCTGGAGAATTTTTCATACGAAATTCCACTTCAGCTTCAAATTGTGTCTCCCTTAAGACAACACATAGGAAAACTTTCCTTTACACCGACGCGTGTACATTCCAACATGTCGTATCTACCTCCTGATATAAATGTTAGTGAGTTTGTTTTTGTGTGTCGGGACACGATTAAGAAATCGCTGCTACCCAATTTCGACGGATCTTACAAAGTATTAGAACGATCAGATAAATTTTTCATAATCGAAAAAAAAAATCAATAAAATAAACTCTGTCTCAATTGACAGAGTTCATGCCAGCCTACATAGAGAAATCATCTGATCAGTCTACAGAAAATGAACCCGTTGTACATGGAAATAAAGACGAGAATGTCTCGTCAACATACGAAAAAGATAATTCAACCAGAAAAACTAAATCTAGTAGACATATTCACCGGCCTACCAAATTCAGAAATTATGTATCATAATACACACATACAGACATACATAAATAAAAGAAATATTAAAACACAAATCACAAATTCTTCTCTTTCAATATATTCTATAACGATCCGGAAAGGCTTGTATTTATAGGAAATGATGCAATTTCCCCGTCAGGAAAGGTTCCAGAAAAATTGGTTCAACTTTGGCGCAATTTTTAAGATATAAAAAAACCCTACGTACGTTTTCTAAAAAAAATAAAACACTCAACCACATTTTTTGACCAATCGGGGGTACAAAAAATACGCGGTCACATCGTAAGAAATTTTTGAAGCTAACACACATGTGCGTGAGACCATCAGAACAATATAAAAATGAGGATATTTTCAAACTACCTCAGAAAAGTTTACTTTCCTGGCCAGATGAATACAACTGTGTCTCACAGCAGCCCGCTCATTTGACCGCTGAACGAACTTTATCAAATTACAATTCTCAACTTGGCGATAATGCTTTTAACACCACCCGGCCGCTGATACTTCTATACAACTTGCAGAGACTTTAAAGAAATACAAAACACGAAAGATTCAATTTTTTTTTTCAGATTTTTCCACGTGTTCTTTTGTTGTTTTCTATTAACATCAGTACAACTACACATGCTCACACACACACATGCTCACACACACACATGCTCACACACACATGCTCACACACACACATGCTCACACACACATGCTCACACACATGCTCACACACACACACGCATACACACACATGCTCACACACATGCTCACACACACACATGCTCACACACACATGCTCACACACACATGCTCACACACATGCTCACACACACACATGCTCACACACACACGCATACACACACATGCTCACACACACATGCTCACACACACATGCTCAAACACACACGCATACACACACATGCTCACACACACATGCTCACACACACACGCATACACACACATGCTCACACACACACGCACACACACACATGCTCACACACACACGCCCACACACACACATGCTCACACACACACATGCTCACACACACATGCTCACACACACATGCTCACACACACACATGCTCACACACACATGCACACACACACACATGCTCACACACACATGCTCACACACACATGCTCACACACACACATGCTCACACACACATGCTCACACACACATGCTCCACACACACATGCTCACACACACACATGCACACACACACACACACACATGCTCACACACACACACACACACATGCTCACACACACACGCACACACATGCTCACACACACACGCATACACACACATGCTCACACACACACATGCACACACACACATGCTCACACACACACGCACACACACATGCACACACACACACACACACACACACACACATGCTCACACACACATGCTCACACACACATGCTCACACACACACACACACACACATGCACACACACACACACACACACACACACGCACACACACACATGCACACACACATGCACACACACACATGCTCACACACACATGCTCACACACACGCACACACACACATGCTCACACACACACATGCTCACACACACATGCTCACACACACACATGCTCACACACACACGCATACACACACATGCTCACACACACGCACACACACATATGCTCACACACACATGCTCACACACACATGCTCACACACACACGCACACACACACATGCTCACACACACACGCACACACACACATGCTCACACACACATGCTCACACACACACATGCTCACACACACATGCTCACACACACATGCTCACACACACACGCATACACACACATGCTCACACACACACGCATACACACATATGATCACACACACACATGCTCACACACACATGCTCACACACACACGCTCACACACACACATGCACACACACACACACGCATACACACATATGCTCACACACACATGCTCACACACACATGCTCACACACACATGCTCACACACACACGCATACACACACATGCTCACACACACACGCATACACACACAGGCTCACACACACACGCATACACACATATGCTCACACACACATGCTCACACACACATGCTCACACACACACGCATACACACACATGCTCACACACACACGTATACACACACATGCTCACACACACATGCTCACACACACACATGCTCACACACACATGCTCACACACACATGCTCACACACACACACGCATACACACACATGCTCACACACACACATGCTCACACACACATGCTCACACACACACGCATACACACACATGCTCACACACACACGCATACACACACATGCTCACACACACACGCATACACACATATGCTCACACACACATGCTCACACACACATGCTCACACACACACGCATACACACACACACATATATTTATATAATCCTGCGTTCTTATTGATATTTTTATTTTTACAAAACAGTGCTCAATGTAAACTTACAGATCATAAATATTATAAATTAACTGATTTAAAATATGGTTTATTCGCTACACAGGAATTTCCATGTTTCCAAAATCGAAGCTAAAAGCTTCAAATTTAATTATATAATTAAATTAAAAGCATTAGTTCTGTTTCATTGACAAGCGAATTTTGTAATTATATAATTAAATTTGAAGTTTTTAGCTTCGGTTTTTGAAACATGGTAATTCCTGTGTAGCAAAGAAACCATATTTTAAATCAGTTATATATATATATATATATATATATATATATATATATATATATATATATATATATAAAATGTTAAAGTTGTTCCAACGAGAGAAAAACGTTTATTTCAAAAAAAAAGAGAAAACGAGAAAGTTTTGGTTATAATGTGGATTTGGTTTAGTATATATACTATATTTTATTCATTATATTGAAGATGATATGAAGAATAAAATATAATATAGTGATTTTCCAAGCCTAGCTTAGATGTGGCACAAGGCCGAAATTAGGGGTACCCAGTGAGGAGAATAAAATATAATATATATACTAACACAATTATAGCCAAAAGTGTTTGTGGTTTGTCTCTGTTTTATATATATATATATATATATATATATATATATATATATATATATATATGAGTTCTGAAAATAATT